TCCAAAACAAACAGAAAAATTACAATAATATAAATAACAATGCTTTTTTATAGAAAATTAAAATATCTCGTATCAAAAAAGTATTTGCACACCTGCATGAATACAAAAGAAATAAAATATATAAGCAAATTTCAAATAACTAATATTTAGTATGCATTGCCTTTAGCATCTATTACTGCTTGTAATCTTGCTGGCATTGATTTAATTAAATTTTCTGTAACAGTAGGGTCAAGTATTCGACCACCTCTTCAATAAGGGCTTGTTTAAGGGCAGATTTGCTTGAAATCTTCCTTTTTACTTATTTTTAAATTCCAAAGAATTCCACAAATTGTCCAAAGGATTTAAGTCTGGTGATTGGGGTGGAGTGGCAAGTTTTCTGGGTACATTATAAAGCAACCACATACGTGTTATACCGGCGGTGTGCTTGGGATTATTGTCTTGCTGAAAATAGTACGAATTACAGATACCACAATTTTATTGCACTTTGTGGCAAGTTATCTCGCAAACACATCAATATAGGTTCGAGCTGTCATATTCCCATCAATGAAACACAAATTACCAATTCCTTTGCTAGCCATGCACCCCCGCAAATCATAACAGAACCTCCTCCATGTTTAACTGTAGGTAACACATTTTTGGTATGAAAAGCAGTACAAGGTTTTCTTTTCTCAAACTAATTTTCTGCCATCTGATTTAAAGCTATTGAACTCACTCTCGTCGGAATATGAACATTTTTCCAGAAATCAATTGGCTTATTGATATATTCCTTAGCGAATTCAAGTCTCTTCAGTCTGTTTCGTTCAGTTGAGAGGTTTTTTCCTTAGAGATCTCCCATAAATGTGTGCATCGTGCAGGACATTTCGAACACTTTGGGCACAGATTTGAACTCCAGATGTTGAAGCGACGACATCATTGGCTAAGTAATTGCACTAACAAATGGATTTTTTTATGCTTCTCTTATGATTTTCGCTTTCATTCGCAGTGAAAGTTTCTTTGGGCGTTCAGAACGCAAGTTATTTGATGTAGATTCTCTTTCACATTTTATAACATACCAAACAGTAGAGAAGGCAAACATTTACTTTTTTTACCTATTTCTCGATAACTTAGGCCATTTTCATGTAGAGATAAGCAATTTTTTTCTCTCAACGAAATCGGCAATTCAGATTTCTTAGATGACATTACAATTTGAAATCGACAATCAACTGATAACGTTTCGACCAACACCTCCTTTTATAGTCGTCTTACATATATTATTTACTGCGGGATGACTGTCAAATAATAGCATAAATGCAAATTGCTAAGAGTTGAGTTGAGTGTGCAAATACTTTTTTTTTGACATAAGCTATTTTAATATTGTTGCAAAAATGTTTTTTTTTTTATTAATATTATTGTATTTTTTTGTAATTAATTTAAATAATAGGCTTATTCTATTTTTAAATGCCAATTTTTGTATTCTTAATGCATTTTCTTATAAATTGTGAACAAAAATGTATGTGTGCAAATACTTTTTGTACCCACTGTAATTTCTGAGTAAGCTATTTGTACGAACTGAAATAATTTGCATATAAACTTATATTCCAAATCATGATTTAACTTGAAATTAATGTAGATAATTACTGAGAGAATTAGATTTTTGTAGCGTAGATGAATCACTTGGGATCACGTGATATGAACCGGCGAATCAGGGTGTTGAACCATGAAAGCATAGTAAATTCTTAAATTAATGTCTTTTGACAAATTTATTGTCTTTATTTATTGGCTTTTTACAAAATTTTAAACGGCATTAAAATGTTTATTCCTTCAAAATAAAAAAAAAATTTTTAGAACTAACATTTCTTAACATTTTTTATGTGTATACTGTATGTTGTCGCCAACAAAGTTTGCTTGGCGAGATTTGCGCCGACGAAACGGAAAAGTACCAAAATTATTTTGCTGTTGAACTGAATTCTATGGTTTAAGTGCAAAGAACATATTTAATAAACATACAAAACGTTAAAAAACGCCCCTTTGGGCATAATGTAAAATCTGAAAGCTTTTAGATTTTACTTTTTGTTAATACTTTTGATTTGATTACAAAGATTTCGGTTGAAAGAACAGGTCTGTTTATTTTATTTTATATACATAATTTATCTGTAAATGGATCGATACCTTTCTTAATAGCTCAATGACTTTCTTTCTGAAGACGGAGAACTACTGTATTCTTATTTCGAATTGTTTTAAGCGCAGATTATCGGAAATAAAAAAGCAACGCATTTTTTCTCATTTAGAATTGTATAATATTAATAAGTTTATTGCAAAATCACTGTGAAAGGGAAATTGAAAATGTACAGGTTTAACTATATTTGAGCCCACCAACGGCCGAGCTGTAAAATCGCTGAACGCTGGTAGTTCCGACCTGGTTTCGAATTCAGGCGAGTGTGTTGACTGCTTGGGCGTTTTTGTGGTTTTCCCCATGTGTAACATGTATACAAGCCAGTTTTCCTTAGAAAGTCTTCCACGAAGACATCACTCCCCTTAGCCCTAATATGCTTTGGAATAACCAATTAAAAACTAACTACATTTGAAGATGCAGCACTGTTTTGAATATTTCATGAAATTTTAAACTTTCTTCGGAAAGTTCGCTGTTGATGATGAAATTCGTCAAAAAATTCGCCAATTCAAAATTTCCATATTTAACCATTTATTTTCAATTCCATATAGAATACTGGCAGTGTAACGACTTTTCTTGCGAGTAAGCTTTCTGTCATTTTACTTCACAGAACAATTTGGAATGTTTTGTACCTTTATGCTTTATTATACTTAATTTAACCCTTTGCACTCGAGGCCTTTTTCGCTTGCGTGAACCAGCAACTTGAGACGATTTCGACCAAATTCGGCAAACACTTTACAAGTATTTATGGCAAAATGCAGCAAATGTAGCCAGTCTTTGAGACAACTAGAACATAAACTCTGATACGTCATTTTGTCGGTTTCTTCGGATTGTATGTTATGAACGAAATTCGACCCTTGAATTTTATAGTTGACTTGTCCACAGATATGTGCTCGCCCGGGATAAAATAATCCAAAAACTTCGAGTTGACAATAGTTCCAAATAGCAGTTTATGCGTGGTAGGCGCGTTCGTGGATTGGTGTTGCGTGTTGGAATAGTTTTCAAATGAAGCATCCAGAAGATTTGGATAAATCTGTCTCTTGTAAATATATCCTTATGTATATATAAGTCTTAAATATATATAATTACTATATATATTTAAGAACTACTAGACCGTCAATCTCGGAACGCCTGCTATTGTTAGCTGGGCGAGTTCAATATACGCGGTGAGAGAATAGAAAGGAAAGGTTCCGGAATGGTTTCCAACGGAAATAATTAGATCGTGGAATGGCTTTCAGTGGGTAACTACGGAAAAAAAAGGGATATTTTCGCTGACTTAATTCCCGAACCGTGGAAGGAGTTTCACTTCTTATTTTTATGCTCCATGTGTTATTGAACATTTTGTTGTAGGACAAATTAATTTTTATCAATTTATGAAACAACAACAAAAAAAAAAAAAAAAAAAAAAAAAAAAAATACTTCGTAGAAAAATACGTGTTTGCAATGTAAAACTGTACGCTCATTTAAAATTTGCTTAAAGGCATAACGTTTTGGCGAAAATACATAATTTTGTTTATTCCAACGAACATGAAGTTACAATACGTAAGTGTAAAGTTTTTATTTACTTAACGTATTGCAGAAAATTGCAACTGTAAAAAAAGGGGCAGACAATCAATAAGAATAATAAATAATACACATACTAACGAAACGCTAGCTACCCTCACAAAGCAGGAGCCCGTTCATAGTAGGCGCTCAATGAGGGAAAGACTGAAATTCCCTATACTCAAAATCCCTTTCTCTTTCTCCTCTTAGCTCATCCCTACTTTCACGTACCATACCTACTAATCTTGGACTCTTCCGGCAAACAACAGAATTCGTTCCGGGATTGAGCGCCTACTAGTGCAACGGGTTAATGTTCGTTAATGCGAGAGAGAATGTCTGTTTCTGTGTGCGTGCTATAATAATTGAAGGAAATTTAATTAAATATTATTAATTTCGCTAAAAATGCTGCAAAATTAATAAACATATAAGACAGAATATATAAACATAAGATAGAACATATTGTATTAATCAAAGGTTGCAAAGTCCCAACAATGAAGAAGGCGATTTTTCCTTTTTTTCGGTGTTTTCTGTTTTCTTGCCTGTGATGCTGAACTACGCAAATGCGCCAATTTTGGAATGCCCGACAAGAGAAAAAAATCGGTGTTTCAATTCCGTGAAGCCAAAACTCGGTTCGTCCAATGTATATATAATATGTAATTTACCATTCTTCCAACAGATCGTGATACTTTTCCGCGAAATGTTCGTCCGTTTCCCGCCGTTTTACAACAAAAAGGACCTTTGTCCCGAATGGAATATTAAGTCTCAAAACAGCTTTTTGCGTTTGACCACTGTAAACGGTGCATCACTTTTTCACATTGTTGCCACCAAGTATTATCGCCCAGCATTACATGTAAACAATTTAAATAATGAAGAATCTCCATGAATATATGCCTGTTTCTCGCAATGTGAAAGAACAACAGTACTTAGAGCCATCCGATTTTGAATAACGCAGTCACACGGGCATCTAAAAAACCGTATTTTGACTTTCCCATATTTTTTATTATCTTTTCATATTTTGTAAAACTTAAGCGAATTTTAACTAAGAAACTCAACTATTTCAAAGCGAGAAGTGGCAACGCTGTGCGTAATAAAACAGTTTCATCTCCAACGCACGAGACTTTCTATCGGAAATTCTGAAGATATGCAAATCGAATTGTCACCTGTTTGGTGCTCAAGGCCAATGACAAATGCAGTCTTACGCTCTTTGCCACGCTAAAATTAATGGGCTTGTTCGGATTAGATCAAAAAAGTGAGATTAGTAACGACATATATCATTAGAAAAGAAATCATCTGGAAAGAATTCACTTACTTTTTAAGTTTGTCGCGGAACATGCAACATCGTTTTTTAATCCTTTGACCGATAAAGCTCGTCTTAAAGAGAAAAAAAAATTACTGCAAATTAAAAAATAGTATTTTCTTCATATCAATTCAGCATAAATTCATAAATTCTGTACAAACTCATATCAGAAACGGATTAGATTATTTTAATTTGGGCAAAGAAGGGAGGGATCTCTAAGAGAAATGATGCTTCCGTGGAGGACATCCTGAGGGAAATTGGCACATATTCACGTTACATATGAGAAAAAACAATGCAAAAAAAAATGAAAGTGTCTTCGCATCATATGTGCAGATATTTAGTGCTGCAAAATACATCTAACTTCCTCACCAGGGGCCCAACAGCGGCTCAGCGGTAAAATCGCTGAACACTGGTAGTTCTGACCTGGGTTCGATTCTAGGTGAACGGGCTGGCTGCATGGGCGTTTCCGAGGTTTTCCCCGTGTTTGTAACATGTATACGAGCCAGTTTCCCTTCCTCCATGAAGTCCACCCCAGTTCTCCATGAAGGCATCCCGCCTTATAGGCACGAAAGCAAATGAAACGAAATTTAAAATGTAAAAGTTTGGTTTAATTCCCTTTTGTTGTAAGATTTTTAATCATACTTTTCCCGGGGCCTCTTTAGAGGGAGACACCTTGTATATCTAATTTCACATTGCAGAAGTTTTACATTTATAGTTATCGACACTTGAAAAATTTCACACAAACTTAAATATTAAAATTTTAATCAGGATTGTTACCAGTGGATTAATTAAGCATATTAACATGACTTCTGATTATTTAAAACGCCATCAACAGACGACCACTTCCGGTATGTACAGTTAGGATTCTTGCGCCATGCCATTTCACGGATATGATGCTGGTTCACTTTAGCTGCCTCTTCAAGTCGTACTAAATGCAAAAATTTTTATCAAGATAGCACATACATCCTTTGTCAGAAAAGTTCCAGGACAATTATTTTTATTTCTGTGTTTACAGTACTAGAAAGGAACAGATATTGTTTTCATTAATATCTCGTATGTATTCCTACTTGACATGACCGTGGCCATGTTTCCGCGCAAACTCACTAGGTTGTAGGGTTGTGCTTAGCAACACATTGTTCGGATTATTGTCGCATTCATTAAGGTGACACTCTTTGCTCCCAATCAGCATCCTTGTGTCACCTCTCTTAAGCTCTTAAAAACCCCTAGTGAAACATGATTAAACAAGCATATGAAGGCCAGACACTTTCAATAAATCTTGTTTTCGAAAGGCACAAAAGGTTTCAGTACAAGACGATCCCAGAGCTAATCATCTGTTTGCAGCACATACCAATGCAAACGTGGAGCATGTAAGACAGATACTGCGAGAAGACCGTCGTGTAACAGTGCGTGGGATAAACTTCATGCAAGAATTGTCATACTCACTAACAGATGAAAAGAAATAGTAAACATTTCTGCAAAATTATTGGATAGAGCCAGATGCGATCCCATATTTACGTCAAAGATCATCGTGATTTTTTTTCTTGTTTCCATGAGCGAAAAGGTGACGGAAAAGAAAGTTTGATCAAGACTATTGCAGACATCCAGCGGGCTGTGACAAATGAGCTTGCAAGCATCACAGTTGAAGATTTCCCACGCTTGCTTTCAAGACCTCTAGAGACGTTGGCAATTGTGCATAGATGGCTAAGGGAACTAGATAGTTAGTTTGATATCAGCTAGGATCATTACCTGTTAAATGCGATTTTCTATTCTTTACGACCTATGTTCTGGGACGTTTCTGACAAAGATGTATATGGGATCATATAATCTCTTTAGTTTAGTGTCTAGGCCCTTTTATCTGCACGATCTCCAAATCACTTTCCATTTGACAATCTATGAAACCTTATCAATCATTCTGAGGTTTCCTCAATCTAATACCCTGGACATGAGCTAATCTACACTGTGATCCAATGATCTTACATGCCAAGTAATTGATGAAGACACAAACTTAATGCTAAGCCGTGGTGCCGTATACTTTGTAATCTGTAGCGATCGTATCACGTATTGAGTTATCCCTGACTATTGCAAATCCTTGAGTTTCCCTAGATCAGCCTCGATCAGGCCCTTCTATACAAAGGCGAATAATCTATCTGGCATAATAGGGTTCCTAATGTATACTAAACGCCTACAGGTAAGGTGAATTTGAAACCACAAGAAACAAGCAATGAGATGCCCTGTGTGTCCTTTTTCTGGGGGGGGAGGGGTAAAAGAAACTATGCAGGGAATTCTCACTCACAGCTGTGTTTTTTAATATAAATATAAATATTAAATCTGTATACATCACCTGGCCACTTGGCTTGAGGAAGTACTCGTACCTTTGTCTTCCTTGTTTAATTTAGTTTTCAGACTCACCATCGTGTGAAGTTGTTTGGTCAAGAGTTTGCGTTTGGTGGTTTGGGAGGGATTGAATCGGCTGTTCATCCAATTGGGATGTGTTAACGATTTAACCGACCCCCTGAATTTAGAAATAGGATCTTTTACTAATACTATATATTTAATGGCAGTTTGGGATCTTATCTTACTTAGTAAATATTTACATACGCGGGATTAACCATTTTAAAATCTTTGTTTAAAATGTTCAAATGGCGGAAGAGTAATGGGTAACATTGCCTAAGCTCTTTTCCTTCTTTCTATAAGAAGGAAACGCCACCATTGTTATGTTAGCCCTGACTATTGGATTCGTATAAAACGCATTGGTTACATTTAGCTTCCTATGGCAAGCAGTATATTTACAAGCTAAATGCAAACATTTATATGCGTATTATCAAACTTTTTATAAATAAAACCTATATCATATGTCTTGCTGGAAAACGTCCGAAATTAAAGTAAGTTTTTTTGCATTAAAGGATTGAAATTGAAAATGGTCAGCGTTATTATACAGATACAATTACGCCTAAGATTATTATGCAAGTGTCTGCTTTAGCAACGGTTCCTTTTTAGGTTCTAGATTAAATTTATACGCAGGCATACTTTTTGTTCGCAGACAATGATTGAAGATCAGGATCAGCTTTACGCTTTGCACACCTGAGAACTGAAGGCGGATCTGTCCCGTCTGCGTACTCTTTCTTGATTGCAGAGGCTGAACCTTGTCCTACTAGTTTTCTTATACCATGGAAGAATTCTATTAAAAAAGAAAATATAATCAATATATTTTAAAATTAGAGTCTTATTTTTTATGTTAAAAAGCATTTACATTAAATGTGGTAATTTCATAAAATACCCATAATAATTATCGATACCTATAATCAATATATACATCATAAGTATATTTTTACTATATATAAACGAAAACTAAACTCCGCGGCACAAACAGCCCTTAGAGAGTCATGGTCGGCGATGCCCTGATATCTCCTTTCTAGCTGTTACAACCTTACAATGAAAGCACCGTTTTCTAAGAATCAAATTTGAAAGCTTTAATCTTGTCTTAATCTAGCTTTTTTTCAATAGTACGTCGAGGACAGATATATCAAGGTAGTTGAATAATGTAATTGGATTCAATACTTATTCAGGAAGGGAATTATTTATAAATCCACGGATAGCATTTAGTTAAGTTAATTTGCCAGGATGTTTTTCTAAACCAAAATTACAAATAATAATATTTTTAGTCTTTACAACTGATGTTTATTTTAGTGTTTAGTTAAGCACTATCAAATCTATATAAACTGCATTGCATGCTTAGTAATTTCGTTTAAAATAGACGGAGAATTCGCAGTCTGCGCTGTAGTAGCTAGTGTTATTAATTAGCAAGCTAAGTTCAGTTGACGACTGCCAAATGAGGGCAGTTGAGACCAGTTGAAGACAACTTGTCTCAATGACAACAACAAGACAGCCAAGCCAGTTGAAGACATGGACTTCAGAAAAAGGTAACGTCTAAAAAAGTCGCGCAGACTTAACCCTTAGGGCTCCGCACATTTTTGTACCACTGCCTACCGGCGACTCCAGCACATTTTTGCAGCGGAACGAGTGAAACGGAGTCTTTTTTTTTTTTTTTTTTTTTTTTTTTAAGTGAGAAGAATTACAGATGCTTGTGAATGTGTTTTTAATTTTATTTGTTTCATACATATGCACCTTCTTCTTGCAAATGAAAGATACATTTTAAATTTTACAATTCACCATGGTATGATATCTTTGGAAACAATCTCCCATGTGCATCCTGGGTTTATTTGGGAAAGTGTCACGTCGAAGTCTTCCTGCGAATCTTCACTTTCAATAATTCTCATTCGTCGTCTCTGTGGTAGTCAGAATTATAGTCAACATTGTATTTCGCAATATCTTTTAACACTTGAAAATCAAACACGTTTTCACTACCACCCAACTCTTAATTCTCGTCATATGAATTATTTTTCTCCATGTTGCTAACCATAAAAAAGGTCAAACAATGGTTTAATCGTAACAGTACAGAGACTGAGCACGTTTAAACTACAGATAACAATTGCCAACGATACCCCAGCATCTTAAGCGTAATCATGCTAAAAACATTTGGCTCCAGACTAGAGCCTTACGGAGCTGCGGAACAATGCGGGATGGCCCCGTAGCGGAGCGCTAAAGGTTTTAAAAAGATCTTGGCTAGATGAAGTGTTTATTTATTTCTAACCTGCTTCGTTTCCCCTTCTGTGTGGGTGAAAGAAATTTATTCTCAAAGGGAACTGTTTTCCCTTTCGGCTAATTTTCCACAGATTGAAAAGGCACTAAGGCAAAAATTTCAGATCTCTTCTCAATCTCAAATGATACCATTTAGGATTTTGAGGGTCAACTGTTTCGGTAAAATCAAATTATTAAACTATAAGGTGTGTTCAAATAGAAAGGTACGAAACCACACTGTGGGTATACTGAAGTGTTGATTGACGAGTAATCACCAGAGGCCTGAGAACAACTATTCCCCTGTTTTACGAGTCGAAGGATTCACCTTCCCAGAATCCCTCTAGTCGTGACAGGAGCCAGTTCTCAACTCTGTCCTTCAGTTCGTCGTCATCCAAGTTGAAGCGTTTAACTTTGAGATGCCACTTCTCATCAGGTCGTCCCCCTTCTTCGGCCATGATTGCTGTACTTGCATGGCCTGGTCTCGGGTCATCACTCCAACACTCCAGGCCTTCACAGAAACTGAGTCGCCACTTTCTCACTAACTTGTCGGATACACAGTCTGCCCCATATACAACTATCATCCAGCGATGAATATTGGCCGGTTTAAATCCTTACACAATCCGGAATCTGGTAACACCTCGATGCTCCTCAATCGTCGAATTTAGCAATGTCAATGCTATCATATCCTCACACGCACTGCCGCATCAAATTGGACAGAACACACAACTCCCTACTTCTCTCTTGCGTCATATGCGGGGGGTCTCCTACATGCGCACAACCTCGCCGGGCACTACATTCGCGTTCTTAGTTGTCTCACTACGTTATGCCAAACCGGCATATTGAAATTTCAAAACCTGTTTATGTGTTACGACGTTTCGTGCCTTTTAATTAAACAACCCTTATACAAAGCCATTTGTTTTACTGATCCTATTTAAGCATAGAAAAATGCATACTGCTCGTTAGAACTAAAGCATAATCTAGAAAAAAGGGGAAGGAAAAGGGGAAAAATACTGACTAACTAAAATTTTCAACTAATGTACAGTGGTACAATTAGCTATGTTAATTATCTGCAGGTGACATCAAAACTGGGTTTTAGGGAAAACGTTAGCATATGAAATATGCAAATTAGCCGCACAGTAACATATTGCACGATAAACGTACGTTGGGATTCAAATGCGACCGCGTTACTACCTGTAAATGCGGATTCTGAAAGTGATCAGAATACATTAGTTATGTCTTAAAGCTGTTGCTTGAGTGCAGGAGGTTAGGTTAGGTTAGGTTAGGTTAGGTTAGGTTAGGTAGGTTGGGTTATTTAATTGCGACAAAGCCTCGAGGGTTATCTGCCTAAGGGGAGGGATGCCTTCGTGGAGGACTTTCTAAGGGAAACTGGCTCGTATACACGTTACACATGGGGAAAACCACGAAAACACCCATGCAGCCAGCCCGTTCGCGGGATTCGAACCTCGAACCGAAGTAGCAGTGTTCAGCGACTTCACCGCTCGGCCGCTGGTGGGCTTTGAGTGCAGGAGAAAAAAATAGTGCTTATTTGCTGGACTCCCCAGAGGTTCAGACACAAATGCAGAAGCTTCAGGACCTGAATATCCTACAATTTAGCTTTGTTTGGTTCAGTCGATTATATAAAAGCTATCCGCTTGAGGGCTATCAGCCTAACTGGAGGTATGCCTTCGTGTAGAACTTTCTCAAGGAAATTGGCTCGTATACATGTTATACGCATAGTGAAAATAACGGAAACGTCCATGCAGAAGTCTGTTCACCTGAAATCGAATGCATGTCGGAACTACCAGAGTTATAAATGAAAATCGAGACGCCGCTATGCTCGTTGTACGCAGATGTAACATAGAGAAAAGAACAAATATGAATTGCTATGAATTGCCCAACGTGTAATGCCAGGTTAAGCAAAGAATGCCTTTTACCCTTTACCATACGATGCAAAATCTATTTCATATAATACAGTTTTCCAGAATAATAGGTATGCTTATAGTAAGACGATCGCTACGCGTGGGACATATGTATCCCACTATAAACTATATGTGTCTCACCCTTTGGCGTGAACACAATTTGTCAAGAAATTCCCAAATGCTAAATTTACCTTATTTATGACATATTTTGTTCACTTGGATAGAAAACGGGGTGATTGTTTTTAAAATTCGTTGTCAAAGGTTTAAACAACTTTTAAATTGTTGTTAATTCTACAACCGCTACATGCAGATTAACTAAAGGCATAAAAACCTTAACAAACAAAAAAAAAAAAAAAAAAAAAAAGAATGAGTCTATTAGTTTTTGAGTTCTCAGAGATACGTTCATACAGACGTCACGAAAACATCTCTTCTGAGTCTATTTTAATAAATGAAAATCTGAAAAGTTTCATATTTTAAATTGCTTCCAAAGGGGCATTTTTAAAAAATTTTGTCTGTTACATTTATTTATTAAATATCATGTGCTTCGCATTTGCAGTAGGATCACGTCATTCAAAATTCGATGGCTCTATGTACCGTTATTTTATCACAATGCGAGAAACATACATACATTTACACAGATTTTTCATTATTTAATTCCTTCAAATATAATGCAGGACTTTAACATTTAGTGGCAACAGTTTGAAAAGTGAAACGGACATTTATAGTGAAGCAACGCAAAATCGCAAAGCGAAAACAGTAGTCCTTCAGGAACAAAGCCCCTTTGGATTTCTAAAAAAAAAAAAAAAAAAAACAAGCCCCCCCCCGAAATAAAAATTGAAAGGTTTCAGATTTTAAATTACGTCCAAAGAGACTTTTCTTTAATGTTTTGTGTGTTACCTTTATTTATTAAATATCATGTTCTTTGCACTTAAACCATAAAATTCATTTTAATAACAATGTCGCAAAATTATTTTAAAATAAGCCTACCTTTAGAATTTCCGATACACAGTTTCGCTCCCGCTGGAGATAAAAATGTTTGTTGCCATTGCTCGCTTTTAACTCGTTGAGTTTGTTACTCAAAAATTCGTTAAAGGTTTACAAAATATGAAATCGATAATAAAACAAATTCCAAATTTTGAATTTTGTCTTCCACTTGCCCATATTCGTAGGAGGATTACGTCGTTCAAAATTCGATGGATCTATGTACCATTGTTTTATCACAATGCGAGAAATATACATATATTTATGCAGATTTTTCATTATTTAATTTCTTCAAATATAATGCAGAACTCTATCATTTGGTGGCAACCGTTTGAAAAGTGAAACGGACATTTATAGTGAACCAACGCAAAATCGCAAAACGGAAGCAATAGTCCTTCAGAAACAAAGCCCCTTTGGACTGAAAAGAGTCTTATTTTTGCTGTTATGTACGGATGTCTCGTAAAAGCATCGTTCAGATGGATTAGAGAGCAATGAAAATGGATATTTTCGTTCAAGCATAGTACGTGTATTTTTTCTTGATTTACAATACCTCCTTTGCTTCGTACAAAGAAATAAAAATCGCTATCCATGCGACGATAAACCATTATTATTATTTTTTAATTAACAGATTTTTTAAACATCTGTAATACTTTCCAGAAACTGGAAAACAAGTAATACATGTTTTAAAAAGCAAATTTTTGAGCCTGTAACAAAAGAGAGTTACAGACAATAATTAAAAGCATCTTGGATACGTGTTATTATTTTACAAAGTCTGACATGCTAAAAATTCTGGAAGGACGAAGGGGTATTGTTTTTTAAAATAATTACCTATTCTTATACACTGTTATGCAGATTTTCCTTCACCTTTTTTTCCAACGCTGACATTTATTTGAAATTAGAAATTTCAAGCTTTGCTTTAAATGTTAGAAAATCTGAATTCGTAATTTCATTAGAAATGAATATAATGGGCGAATTTGAACAAGTGGTCAAAAATTTAGTGGGTGATAGAAGGCATCTATCTATACCAGCAATATTCGTCATAGAATATATGGTCGAAATGTAAACGACGACCCGCTAGGTGGCGTTGAAAGTGGTATAAAAAGTGTCGGTCCGCTCAGCCAACGCCATTATCTACCGTGGATTGCAGAGACGATGGCTGGTTATACGAACCACGAAATTTCCAGGGCGATGGATTTGTCGAAGTGGTCCCATAGCTTGGCCACAAAGATCCCCGGATCTCTTGCTTTCGGACTTTCTCCTGTGGGGCCATATGAAAAGCCTAATCTACGAATGCCTTGCTGAAACAAATAATGGTTCTAATCGTCAGGTTCGCCGTTGTTGCCGGCGATACTAGGAAAATGCTGGTGTCTTCGCAGATGTGCATCAGTTCCGAAGCTTGAATAACAGCTGGCGGAAGGTCTTTTGCGCAATTTCTTTGAGCACGTACATCAATACATTCCTGTTAATAAAATGTTTTCTGAAGTATCTCCTCTCATTCTTGTGTTAGTGCTTTAAATATGACAATGGGGAACTACCCTTTAACTTCTAATCGCTTGCGTTCCGACCGGACATTTTATGATAACTACTGCCTTCTGCCACCCCCTAAAGTTTTGCCCTTTTGTTCCGATTCACCCTGCATAGCTGAAATATTAAACTAGTAAACTGGTTTTTATTTCCATCACAAGATTTACAGAGCATTTAATTTTTAAATCTTACCGTGCATCGGTCCACTCAGTAATTTTTTCTTCGATTTACATGGGCTATCGTCATCACATAGATCTAATTCTGTATCTGACTGCAAATCTAAATGTAAAAGGATCGATGAGGGAACTTCACCAATTTCATTAGCATGCTCTATTAGTACTTGAATCACAGCTGTACAGATGTAAACTTGTCCATTACTAAAAATAAGTGAAAAGAAGTTAAGAGTGTTAGCTCATTTTACGTATTTCAGCAAAATTCAAACCTAACCGAACATCAAATTGATGATATACATGGAGGTTGGCTAAAGGTTTAAAATATGCATGCATTGATTTTCTAGTACAATATTTTCCTTAGGTATATAAACAATTTTCCTTAACCTTTTGAAGGCGGGATGGCCATTATAGTGGCCATAGAGTCCTCTCTTTGAAAAGACGGGGTTGTCCACTTTAGTGGCCATGTCTTTTTCGCCCATTTTCCAAGCTGAAAAGTGGGGTGAAATGTCAAATTTGACGTCCCTGGGGTTTTAACCACTTATCTCTCTCAAAGGTCTTCCTTTTGCTACATAGATGCACCCCTCTGAGAATCCATTAAACTACACACAAGAATCTTTGTTGAAATAGGAGGTGTTTTCTTTAAGTGGGGAAAGCATTCGATTCAAGATTCCCCGTCCTTTGGTAGCTTTTACTGCTACCAAAGCCCCGGCCTCAAAAGGTTAATAAAGACTGAAAACTACATAAATTTCTCACTATAAGTTAGAAGGAATTTCCAAAAAACATTCAGAATAACATGTCTGTAAATGTAATATAATTGGAAAGGGAACTTGTATTATGAGCTTTTCTCAAGCAACGCGATGATAAATTCAGAGGAGTATTTGTTCCCAATGAGACGAATTAAAGACAGCAGTTGAACAATAACGTCCAAAAATAGCGAATCCAAAGGGCGTCGTGTTTCATCAAGAGAGGGCCATAACTCAACGAAAGTTGTTGGAGCTCGGTCGGGATGTTCTACCGCATCCACCACATTCACCAGATCTCGAGCTCTCTGATTTCCGCCTACATAGAAGATTGCAAACTTCCCTCGATTAAAAAAACTTGAACTCTTTCGTCGAGATAAAAAATCACGTAGAAAGGTTTTTCGCTGAAACATCTGAAAGTTTCTGGAGGGCCAGGATTTTCCAGTTGCCTGAAAGATGAAGAATGGTTGTGCAACACAATGTCACCTATACAGGTTGTCCCATAAATAGCGCCCGAACTTTGCACAATCAGTTTTCTTGTTGTGAGTGCATAAAAAATGCCCAAAGAACTGAACCTGTACGATACATACTTTACGAGAAATATACGTCACAACCGGTGCAATGAAAAACACTTTGACACATCAACAGCCATATTTATAAAGGCAGATGTTCAAATTGTCCGTCGTGCATATCGAGGCAGGTTTCAGCGCGCTGTGGAATGGATGAGTGTACACGTTGCAGCAGGCGGTGTTTACCGAAGTACAAGGAGCATTCAGTCGAGCAATTACGACCATTTGTGTAGTCATACGTATCGATGCACCAATTCGTTAAGATGGCCTCATAGGAAAAATCCAACGCTGTGTGATCTGGCGATGGTGGTGGCCATAGAACCGGAATCCCACATCCAATGCAGCGGATCAAGGAAGTGCAATTTATGGAGTTCATAGGCAATTACGCCTTTACCTCCACATCTTCAAAGGAATTTACATCATCAAAAAAGAAGGGATTGTCTAATAGGGTAAAAATTTTGAGAAGCCGAATGACATGGAATAAGTGCCTTCACACTGGGTCAAAAAAAGGGCAAAAAAACTCAGAAGGTCTTAATTTTGCGCAGAAAAAGGGCCAGAATAATTTAGATAGGGGCAGTCATAATAAAATTTTGACCAGATAAATAAAAGGTGAAGTTTCCTTGAACCTTGATAATCGTGTTTTGCATACGTCAGAAGCGAAGAATACGCAGGGGAATTTCCGATGCGCGTTCTTCAAGGGTGGGAGGGAGGGAGGGGGGAACTTGTTAACAGGTCGAAAAAGTAGTTCTGCCAGTGATCAGCTGGGAGGGAGAAGTTTCGTTTTTGACCGCTTTTCAATGCGGTATTTAACGTTGTTAAACACCTGAGAAAGTTCCTTTTTAAAGGAAGAAAAGAGCTGTATTTAAAAAATCATTTTCAGTTTAAGTCAATTCAAAAGTTAAAAAATATTTTAAATCAGTCCTTTTAGACTGTGGTGTTTCTTATTAAAGAAACGTTAAAGGGGGTTCTCCTCGGGTTAATGCTGTGTGCATTAAAGAACTTTAGAGGCGGGGGATATTAAGGAAGGAGAGGTAGTTATTCACATGGCTGTCAGTGTGCTCATATCTAGCCCGTTTAAATGGGAGAGATGAATATTCCTGGTTAAGAACCGCTCTGGGTGCCAATGCAGCGGCCTAGTATTCCATATCCAACCAATCACTCAGAGAAGCGATAAAATGCGCCAGAGCTTCATCATGCTAGAACCATCGGCGATATGACGTCATACATTTCTTTTGCGTAGATGTCGAAAACTATGGATCGCACAGGCACAGTTCTTTGGACATTTTTAAGGTAATTGGAAAGAAGACTATGGCTGTGCAGAGTTTGGCCGCTGTTTATGGGACACACTGTATAATAAATGTATACTAAAATTAAAATCTCTTGCTTTCAATTTTCCTTCAAATCGGCGCTAACTTTCTTGGATGACCCAATAGTATCTTTTTCACTCTGTTTCCATAGATCACTCGTATGAACGCTGACTATAATCGAATTTAGAATGCAAAGAGAATTCGATAAATGCGTCCATAGTCAGCGTTTATACCTTCGCAAGCATGTGTTAACCAATGCGTACGTACTGGAGAAGCATAAAGAGTTGAAAGGCTTTTGGATTAGTATTAAATTAAGGATAAATATAAAAAAATCTGATGAGTACACCACGACTTCCTTGTACGGAATATTAAATTTTACGCATTTTTTCTTGCATTTCATTTAACTTATTAGATTGAATTAAACCTTCTTTCGCCGACAGCGCATAAAATAATAAATAAAATAAATGCATTCTTTAAAATTCACTCTAGTATTGTTTACCATAGCGACACTCTGGCGCTAGGTTTACTTAACAGTATTAATATTTCGTTCAGTTAACTTAAGTCAGAATGCATTCGTATTATAACTCATAATGCATAAAATTTATATCATTTAAAGAATAGAATAATCTAATCGTTGCCACATGTTCTATTCAAATACTATAACAAAGCTAGAACGATGTATAAAAGAAATTAAGCAAACAAAACGAAAAAGAAACAGTTTTTCACAGACAATTGAGTATTTCTCATTCAATTAATTCCGTTTTCACTTCGCGACAAGGCAAAAATACATAAAAACTCAAAATATCTGTATTAAAAATTACGAAGTAAATCTTAAATACTTATTTCCTCGAAAACATTCCAGAAAGGATTAAGCATGATTTAATTCGCAATAATAAATGAAGGCACTATTTTTGTGTTGCGAAGCTTAGTTTCTCTAGATTGGCAACAAATCTACAATTCTGCTGTTTCAAATGTAAACAAATATGTCCGCCATGTTATTTAAAACTTAACCGCACTTAAACAGCTTTTAAACTGTTGATAATTGTACAAACATTGCTTCCAGTATTACGAAAGGCATAAAAACTTTAACCTGAAGATAAAAACAACATAATTCAATCCTTTTTAAAGCAAAAAATGTACAATTTACAAACATATAAGAGTAAAAAACTGAGATCACTGAGCCGGGTAACAGAGTGGATATATTTATAAATATATTTATATACGTTTGGCACAGCCGATTGAAAATAAAATAAGAGGTGCACATCTACATGTTATAGTAGTCTTATATACAAAATTGCAACGTTCTGAGGCTACTCGTTTTTGAGTTATGCGAGATACGTACGTAAGTACGTACATACGTTCGTACAGACGCCACGAAAAATTCTCTTCAGAATTCATTTTAAAGCAGTTTTTTAGTTTTTTTGGAGGAAAAGAGTCTTTTATTCTGTCCTTACGTATAGATATTACGCAAAAACATCGTTAAATTGCATTCGATAGCGGTCAAAGTGGATATTTTCTTTGAAATATGCTGCCTGAAGCTTCGCGATTACAATACTTCCTTTTTACTTCGTACAGGGAAGTAAAAATCAACATGACGATATAAAAGGTATTAAAGAAAGGTGGAATTAGGCTTTATTTGTTTGTATATTTCTACTAGACATGACATTAAAGAAATTATTAACATATACTTCAAATTAAGAGTTTTGTGTAATAAAGCACTTCAAAGCATAAAAGTTTTCGGAAAAAGTTCAGTACTAACAGCAGGTCTTCTGTAGATGTAAAATATATTTTCATATGGACTTTGTTAAAAAATGCTTTTTCAATTCATGAAATAGTCATTATGTTTTGTTAAATTGAATGCAGATAGTTCCATAATCTTTCGGAAAATACGTGCAGATTATAAACTAATATTTTCACTGTGCCAGCTACAAGTATAATGATAAGAACTGATTTGCCTATATCCGTGAAATTAAAATTGTCAAATCTAATACTCTCGTTTTACACTTGATTCTTTTATGTGCTTTAAAATACCGCAGATTTTATTAACCCCTTAACCTACGATTTAGATTCGAAGATGCTGGGCCGAAATGGTATACAAGCTCGCGCAGCGTTCGGGACATTTGCACGACTTGTGTAACACGCTAATCCGGGCAATCGTAAACATGACGAATTAAGTAATTTTCGAAAAACGTATAGGCGAATAATTATTGATGATACATCCGATGACGATCGACTACCAGAGTCCTGGCTTTGAAAAGAAATAAGAAATAGTCCAAAAATCTGGGACTAAACGATGACTCCTGGCATAAGAGAGGAAGCCTTATGTCAATTAGGAGGAAGTAGAAGAGAATTTGATATATTTAATCTAATATTTGATGACATATTTTGGAACAATATTGTAACCGAAACGAATCAGTATGCAGATCAAATACGAGAAAATCCACGTAGAACACGAGTGTAAAAAGTGTAAAGTTCCGTTACATGTACCAGAATGCTTTGAAATATATCATACCGTTACAGATTACTAATTTTGTATTTTGGAGATTTGTATAAATAAATATTTTGTAATACTTGCGTCTACCACATTTATTGCATCAGACTGTAATTGCGTATCAAACATTCCACGTAATATTCACTTCTGGCCCGATCACCGTACGCGGGCAATGCCCGTGAAAGTTAGGTTTGGCCCGACCATCGTACCGTTGCCCTCAAAGTTAGGTTTGACCCGACCATCTATGCCCTATGCCTATCATTGTAGATTAAGAGGTTAATAGGTATTGAAACTTATCTCAATAAATTCCCTTCGGATATCTCCGCGCTTTCATTTAAGGGGTCTCATACACCTTAAAACCCATAAGATATTCGAATATGTGACTGTTGCAAGAATTGGGAAAACTTATTTATTTTAAAAGCAATTACTACGAACTTTTTACAGCTGACTACATAATATAGCTGCTTTCTGAAATAGTCATCAGAAAGTTTGTGCTGCCACAAATATTTTTATAATTTAATCCGCTTTGTGACAACATTTTTCGTCCGCTTTCCACCTTGCGCGCACAGTTGAAAACATTCTGCTGCATAATTTAATTACATATTTAGTATATAGTTTTTATAACATTTGGAAACTACTGTGAACCTAAAATTCTAAAAATTTCATGTTAAATTTTTATTTTGAGTTGAGTTTATAAAATGCATTTTATTAAAAAAATTTGTAATGTTTTCGTCCATGAAATTTTTCAGTATTAAAATATTCATCAGATTGTTGGTTCAGTTCGAAAATAGTGCCCATAGAAAGAATTCCATCCAATTTCAAGTATGTACTATTAGCCAATTTTAAAATATCATGCGCGCAAGGTGGTAACATGGCGAAATATTTTGTCACAAAGAGGATAAAATTACAAAAATATTTGTGGCAACGCAAACTTTCTGGTTACTAGTTTCCAAAGCAGCTATATTATGTAGTCAGCTGTAGAAGGTTGGAAGTAAGTGCTTTTAAAATAAATAAAATATCCCAATTCTTGCAACAGTCACATATTTGAAGATCATGAGAAGTTTAAGGTGTAGGAGTTCCCTTAAAAGCATCAAACTTTTTTATGTATAATTACAAAGAGGTCATGAATATGTTACAAGTGGAAATTCTTGATGATCATATTGGAAATCTAAAGCTTTCTTTTTCCACAGTACCAAACTTCTGCTTGAAAAGTTCCTATTTTATATTGGGATACTCTAGAATCTTATGCTTCATCTTAATATTTAAAAGAATAGCTTTTTTGAACAACTTATATTTGTTGAACTTATATTTGTTGTTGAACTTATATTTGAACTTATATTTGTTGTTTAACAAAGAAAATATATTACACGATCAAGTTATATCCCAAAGAAGAAAAAACTGCATGCATTTATAATCAAACAGAAACAAAAACAAGTTATTTAATTTTCATGCATATAATAAGGAATCAAGAAACTCAAAATAGACGATGATCAAGAAGCGAAATCTTCAACTTGAAAAAATACATTTCTGAACCTATCTTAGTCATTATTCTATGATTGTCCGAATTAGGTCCTGAAATATCATGAACCGTTAGGCTTTGATACGAGACCACAATTAGTCTTCATTTCTTCGAAATGGAAGGATATTCAAACAGTGCCCAACATGTCCTACAAACTCTCGATTTGACAGATATCAGGCTCTGCTCACCTTGTAAAGTTCTATTGGTCTTAACTACATGTAGCACGGAATTATTTGGTTGGTATGCCATTTCGCACGCCCTGAAATTTCAATAACGCAAAGTAACGCAGCAAATCATCAAGCTAGGCACAAGTCATTAACGTTCCAAGTACTTTTACGCTGCAGAAGATGACTGCTGCCACTACGGCTATAACATTTGTCTCCCGGCATTATTGTCCTCCTTGCAGAAGCGATTTAATACTGCTGTGCTACCTCCGAAGGATGGCTGGCAGAACAAACTGCTACAAACACATGATGAAAAATAAATTCACAAGGCTAGTTAACAGCAATGCATAAGTCCTCACAGGCTACACAATCTTGTGCTAATCACCCACAAAATGAGATCACTGATGCTCCTGTGTTCCGAAAGAGATTGCTGATTGTAAGCTTAGGACTTAACAAGCACAGTTACAGTATTTCAAATCTAAGATACATCCATAATGAGAACTAATGAATAGGAAGTTTTCGGTAGCAGTATCTAAAGTTGTGACTCCTCATTGTTGGGCTATGTTGAGCTCTGCAAAATCTAACCCATGGCAAATAACTTCTAGACTCTCAAGTGGTAATCATAACTGGTGAAATAGAAACTAGATTCGCCAGTTCCATTCGCAGCCACACGGAAATCTTACGCAACACCATTCTAAGAGATAAAGATGATGACACACTTCCAAGACTAGTATTTGCAACGGACGAGTGGACAACAAACCTGCCACATCGAATCGGCTTGACAATACCCATTTCGATATTGAACCATCCAAAACTCTGACCATTTGGCAAGGTGTCACTATTTGTACACTGAGGATATGCTACGGCATGACATTCTTGCATAAAGATGTATGTATGCTGACGTCCATCTTCGACTTCTGCTTCCACTACTCCATTTCACATTTCTTTCCTGAAAGCACTACCTCAAAACGCGACCAAAAATTGAGTTATCACGTTGTATTTCTTCCTGAAAACGCCATTTGACGAATTTGTATATGATAATCTATTAAAGTTCTTATTAATGTTTCTTGTTCGTTTTCCGGGCATATTAAACTGCAAAAATACACACTTCCCGCACCCGTGATAGCATTCTGAATGGCTGTTCTGGCTAACTGCTTTAACTAATCGCGCGGTTTTTGTGACTGCCCAAATTTAAATTCTTTTAATTGTATCACATGATATATGCATCCATTCTTGTTGTATTTAAGGTCTTCATGATGTACACAGTGTTCAACATCGTGCGACAAACAACATTTTCCGAAATTTGACACTTTTGACAAACATATACTATTTAAATTTTAGCATTTGCGATTTTTCGAAATTTTTAGACATCCGTCTTTTTCGTTTTGCGACTACAAAGATTTTTTTTAATACATCGTAAAATGCTTTTATGTTAAAATAATGAATCAATTAAAATTAATTTTTATTAAAAAACAGCTTATTAAGGCTTAAATAGAAGTTGGCATCTAGCACTTTTGTTTGCATGTGGGTTTTCTTTTTCAAGGCTCGACAGCCTGACGCCAGTATAAATAGAAAGGGGTAGGGGAAGAGGAAAAAGTGAGAAAGAAAAAAAATCCGCTTCGGGATCCCTCACCTTCCCCCCTCGTCCGCCGTGCGTTTTGTTGTTTAAATCTATCCCCCTCTAATTCTGTGGTGATAACGAATTGAACAAAAGAACTTACAGCTTGCGCGCCATATATTGGGCACCCATAGAGAGAAAGAAATGAAACTCATTTTCCTGATATAATATTGTTAAGAATTAAGCAAAGGAAATGACTCAAAAAGCAACGGCATTTTTCTAAATAACAGCCCAAATTTAATAGTGAAAGAACAAGGCTTTCTTCAGTAATAAGAATCTGAAACAAATTCACCACGCAGAACGGAAATCTCACTGAAACGCATTCCTCTATTGCAATGTTCACAATTAAGGGGAAAAAAACAATTAATTAAAAAAAATTAACCACCAACTCAAAAAATATTGAGTACAAAAGCGCTAACAGCCTAAACGTCAGGAATCTCTTAAGAATGGATATGTACAAACTCATTTAAAATAAGTTATATTATAATAATTATAATATAAACCTAAATTAGATGAGAACAAACTAAAAAAGAAATGGATATATAAAAAATTGAAAATGAACAATATAGTTTTAAAATTTTAGTTAAAGCTAAGATACATAATTAAAAAGACTAAGAATCGAATACAGTCTATAACTTACGGAGCCGATAGACAGTAAATTTGTGATGACGTCAGAGGTCATATGAGGTCATTATGACGTCACAAAAAATCACGTTATCTCTGACGTCATTTGTGATTTTTTGACTTATTGAGTCTTCTTTTGCTACTTTAGGTGGAAATTTCTGGCACCACTGGGTGTACATTTCCTTTGCAAGAAAATTCATAAAGCAACTAAAGTTTCACTTTAAGATGCATAGAAACAGCAACTTCGGTTAATTCAATTTGGCAGATTATGTAAAGTATTTATATCAATCATAAAATACATTTAAATGCCTCTGTCTTATGATAAAAGTATATGTTGAAAAACTCATACTCACCTAGATTTATCAATATTTTCACTTTTCGTTACGAATACATTTGGCGCTATTATTCTAGCCAAATTGTGAGAATCCATTTTATTTCTATCACTGCTGGCTGCTAAATCATATAAAAACTGCATCAAATGTTTAAATGTATGAAGATGGGGAGGTGGCAGTAATAGGCAAGATAAAAGGATAGCAGTAATTTTTTTCTCTTCTGGTGATAATCTTTGGCACCTATAAAATGACATCTCTTTAATTATAACTAGAAAAATTGCTAAAAAATGTACAGTTATACATAAATCTCATTTCAGTCAAAATGTTTTCTAAATAATGCAATACTATGTATAAGAAATTTGATGTATACACCACATGTATGGAATATTAAATTATACGCACATTTTCCTGCCTTTCATTTAAACTTATTTCCTCGATAAAATACAGTGGATGGACAAAAATATGGAAACACCTTGTGAAATGCATGTTTGAAAAGAAAGATTGATTTTAATGAAATATGTAGGTGGCGCTGGCGTTTTTGACTACTGACGCCACCTATACAACTTCGTAAATGTGCTAAACAGTTCAGTTGTTGTCGGAGTACTGTTATGTGAGGTTGTCATTGCATTATGTCAGAGTTAAGTTAACAGACTTCGAACGTGGGCAAATTGTTGGAGCACGTATGGTAGGTGCTTCCGTAAGCAAGGTAGCCGAGGTGTTAGTGTTTAGTTCAGAGGTGTTTAGTGTTTCAAGAGGTACTGTATCGAAGATTTATTCCGCATATTTGAAAAGCGGAAAAAACATCATCTGCTAAATCACAGCGCGGACGAAAGTGTGTCCTGAGTGATCGTGACAGACGATCATTAAGGGCAATTGTGACGAAAAATAAGAAGACCACAGCTGCAAAAGTTACTGCTGAAATGAATGTTGTGTGTTACCGAACCCTGTGAGTACCAAAACAATTAGAAGGGAGCTTCATAAACAGGGAATTGCTGGCCGTGCTGCAATTGAGAAGCCACTCATCAGTGATGCTAATGCCCGTAACAGGAAAAGGTGGTGTTTAAGTCATAAAGCCTGGACTATAGAGCAGAGGAAGCGAGTAATATGGTCTGACGAGTCTTCTTTCACATTGTTTCCCACTTCTGGCCGAGTTTACGTCTGGAGAACGCCATCTCAAGCCTATAATACAGACTGCTTGTTGCCAAGAGTGAAACATGGCGGGGGTTCTGTTATGGTTTGGGCAGCCATATCGTGGTTCTCTGCTAGCCCCATGATAACTGTGTCAGGGCACATGACTGCCAAGACTTATGTGAACATTTTGGCCGATCAAGTTCATCCCATGGTACAAACTTTGTTCCCCGATGGTGGTGGTGTCTTCCAAGACGACAAAGCCCCTGTTCACACAGCTCACATTGTCCAGGACTGGTTTTCTGAGCACGAGGATGAGTTGTCCCATCTCCCCTGGCCACCACAGTCACCAGACCTGAATATTATCGAACCTTTGTGGTCTACATTGGAACGGAAAGTGCGTTCTCGTTATCCACCGCCAACATCGTTATCTGAACTTGCCACCGTTTTGCAGGAAGAATGGTATAATATTCCCTTGGCAAACATACAGGAACTGTATTTATCCATTCCGAGAAGACTGCAAGCTGTTTTGGATGCCAACGGGTTTCCTACACCATATTAAAAAAAGAAACATGTTTTTTTAAAGGTGTTTCCATATTTTTGTCCAACCCCTGTATAAATGCAAGATTCCCAGAAGGATACAGAAGCTGCCAAGATCAGGCGATGGCCGATATTGACCAAGCCAAATAAGGAACAAATCTAACCCAACCTTACAAGAACTAGCGGAGACCTTCAACGTACACCGGACAACGGTCGAGGGAGACGGCTGGTTAAGTTGGGTTTTACGAGAAACTTGTATCTTTGGGTTCCACATAACCTGACAACTAATCAACGGGATGAATGTAACATTATATACCGTAACATAAAGCGTCGTAGAAGTGTGTGTCGTCCTTCTGATCCGCCAGCACCGACTTCAGAAGCCGAACTTCATCCCAAGAAGGTGTTATGGAGTGTGTGGTGAGATTTTCAAGGAATAATTCACTAGATCCTGCCACTCAACCGAATCACTGCTGCCTTCTACTGTCTACAATTACACAGGCTGCATTCAAATTTGCAACAAAGTGGCCAATCAAATGGCAAGCCATTGAAATATAAAAAACAAAAAAAAAAAAAAAAAAAAAAAACAAAAAAAAAAAAAAAAAAAAAAAAAAAAAAAAAAAAAACAAACAACAATCAACCTCAAAGTTTCAAAACAATATTCCTGGAATCCCACAAAAAAAAAAAAAAAAATATAAAATGCTCAAAAAAAAAAAAAAAAAAAAAAAAAAAGGGTCAATAACAAAATAAAATAATGCATGATCACATAAAAATGAATAAAATAGGAAAAAAAATTAATAAAAAATGTACACTTAACATTCAACAGTAAACTAAGCACCTTAAACAGCATCACTACCGCGGACAAAAATATTGAAAAAAACATGCATGAAAAACATTAATTAAAAACCTAAAAAACAAGACCACAAAAAGAAACTGCTGAACCATACCAAAAAAAATTACCAAAACAATTTTCTCAAAAACATTTGAAAAAAACTACACTGCAAGAAGCCACAACAGTGCCTAAAAAAAAAAAAACACAAAATACACAAAAAAAAAAAAAAAAAAAAAACCTAGACAAAAAACAAAGAAATTAAAATAAAAATAAAAAAAAAAATTCTAAACAAAACAAAAAAAAAAAAAAACGAAAAAACAATCACTCAAGCCTATAATAGCTGTTTATGGCGGGGGTCTGTTATGGTTGGGCAGCCATATTGTAGGCCCATGATAACTGTGTCAATGGGGGGGGGGGGGGGGGGGGGGGGGGGGTGGGGGGGGGGGGGGGGGGATGGGGGGGGGGGGGGGGGGGGGTGGGGGGTGGGGGGGGGGGGGGGGGGGGGGGGGGGGGGGGGGGGGGGGGGGGGGGGGGGGGGGGGGGGGGGGGGGGGGGGGGGGGGGGGGGGGGGGGGGGGGGGGGGGGGGGTGGGGGGGGGGGGGGGGGGGGGGGGGGGGGGGGGGGGGGGGGGGGGGGGGGGGGGGGGGGGGGGGGGGGGGGGGGGGGGGGGGGGGGGGGGGGGGGGGGGGGGGGGGGGGGGGGGGGGGGGGGGGGGGGGGGGGGGTGGGGGGGGGGGGGGGGGGGGGGGGGGGGGGGGGGGGGGGGGGGGGGTGGGGGGCTGGGGGGGGGGGGGGGGGGGGGGGGGGGGGTGGGGGGGGGGGGGGGGGGGGGGGGGGGGGGGGGGGGTGGGGGGGGGGGGGGGGGGGGGGGGGGATCAGAAGGTGTTTGTGGGTATGGGAAGGAGGTGTGGCGAGATTCAAAACGGAAACGATATTGACCAAGCCAAAAAAAAACAAAATCTAACCCAACCTTACAGTAACAAACTGACAACTAATCAACGGGCACATTTATACCGTAACAATAAAGAGTAAACGCCAACTGAACCGACTTACTTTGGCGACACAGGGGTGTTAAGCGAATTTCGCTTACTGCGCATGCTTGATGGTGTACCTTTGGCGCGGGGAGAAATATTGGCGACTAAGCAACCCTACGTTAGCTTATTCGTGATCTCCATGGCTGTCGAGTGTGTTCGAGTGATGTTTAAAACTGCAATGTTGTGGAACTTTGCTTATTAGTTATTTTAACGTCCATGCCGATTGCACTTGCTTATTTTTCTAATATATGTTTCATGTTAATTTGTCAATAACAGTGCATTTAATATTTGCTAACATATGTTCGTAATAATTCGTTATTTAAATGTAATTTGTTTACATGTTACTATTCAGTAACTGTAAACTGGAGTATCTCGCTTAATTTGTTAGCGTATATTCGCACTTTTATTTTCTCATTTCAAAGAATTTAATAAACTAGCATTAAAGAATTGTAAAATTTCTTCAGTGTTATTTGCAAGCACTTGTTATATTCCTCAGTGTTTCTTTTTATGTATGTACGTACGAATGGAACGTATATGGTAAATCCTGAATTGTTTTTATTGCTTAAAAGTATAATGAATAAATTTTTCAACTAAATTATATCCTAAATTTCAGTCTTTTTCTGAACGAAACTTTGTACAGTTCCAAAGGAATGTGCAGAATTTCATAAGTATTATATTTTACATTTTGAATGTAAACACTGCTTCACATTACTTCGCAATAATTTCAGCTTTCTAGTTGTTTGAGCAGTATAGCAAAAAATTGTATTTTAACACAGTAATTAATTTACATTTACATTATACTCTACGAAGATTTAAACGCCAGATTTGTTTACAATTAGATGGCGATACATCTACCATATACCGTATTTATCTTCTTTTCAAATCGCGCCAACATAGTAATTACGCAAAATTGTTTTCTGGGCATGCGCAGTATGCGACATTCGTTTAACACTGTTCAACTCAATGTGCGGTCTGCCATTACGCGTCCCGGTGTTATCCTTCATCATGATAACGCCAGACCCCATGCTGCTATCATCACTCGCCAAAAGTTACTCGGCTTCGGTTGGGAAGTTTTACCCCATCCTCTCCTATTCTCCTGACTTGGCACCAACTGACTGTCGCCTGTTTCGTGCGTTGAACAATTCCTTCAGTCAGAAAATCGTTGATGATCTTGATGCCCTGAAAACTGTTATACAAGCCTTCTTTGACTCGAAGCCGCAGGAATTTTACTGCCGTGGGATTCATCTCCTACCAGAAAGATTTCAAGAGGTCATAGATAACAATAGGGATTATGCACAATAATAGGTACTGTTCATATTGCGTTTATTTTCTCTTCTTTATGGGTAATGGAAACGGGTAGAACGTTTGCACTTACCCAATATGTTAAAAATTCAAAGATACAGAAAAACATAAAACGCCAAATACAGTTAAAAAAATTCAAAACATTTTTTAAAATTAAAATTACACTTTCTGCGCAAAAACAAGCCATTCGGCCAGCGGAATAAAAGGCAGATTTTCTGGTGCATAAACCAAAAGTTTACTTTTGGTCTCATCGGCAAAAAAATACTGAAGGTGTAGAAACTGGCTTAATTTGTTGCGGACGCTGCGCTGAGTCAATATATGGGATAATTTAAGAACTTGCTCTTGATGAAAATACTGAAGTCAATGTTAATAAATATGTTAATAAATATGTGATTAATAAATATGTTT